CTTCGAAATTCCAGCTAAAGTTCAGGTACCATTTGTGAAATTTACCCCTTATTCAGCATAAAAGTACTCACAAATATGCCTTCCTTTTTCAAAAGGAAAAAGTACACGCAGAAATCTTTGTCGTGTCTTCTTGGAGTTCAACGGGGGGAGGGGGGGGGACAGACAAAATTTCACATTGGTGCTGAATAAAATAACACCAACTGTCAAAAAAATACTCAGTAACCAATTGGACCACATTGGGCGGGCAGTGAGTCAGCCACAGTGAAGACTACTACTGATTTTGCTGCCTAAGCAACACATCTTTCCAAGCTTCATAGAACATCCAAGTTATCCCTGAAGAAGGCATCACTTTCAAACAGCTTGCTCCCCACCCTCTGTAAAGACCAAGTGGGCCTTTCTCCTTGACGATCTCCGACAATGCAGCCACCATGTGCGGTGGGCATTTTCCTTGCAACGCCCCAACCATTAGCCGCTTCCTAGCCACCTCCAATGGGTAACTAATAGTGCTGGCTGTCAAGCCTGCTCCAGGGAGGCCAATCATTTTAGAAATATTACTGCTACTGTTACTGTTAATCTGTCTATTTTAAAAAGATCAATCATGATTTGGTCAAATTACCAAATGATCCTCTATGTTTTTGAAACATTACAAATACACCCCGAAACTAGCCACCAGCAACTATTATTAAAGAGTACATAATACAACAAAATTGAGAAGATTTGTGCGCGAATTTAGTGTTTTCATGCATTTCATAGGCTATAATGTCTTAAGTACGAATTCAAAAAAACATTTTTAAAGGAAAGATTTTGAGGGTGATTTAGTCCAGAAAAACTCAGTTCTTATTTCTCACTGATAATATCGCTACATCTTTCAGTGCCTGTGTGAAAACTCAAGAGACTTGTTTGTAATTTCCTAAAGGATCATTTAGCAATTTGATGAGACCTTCCATGTAATTTCGCCCTCAAAAGAACAAAGTTTAAACTAAAACTAGTGGACAGGATTGAAGTAATGGAGGAAGTGTTACCAGAGAGAGCCCCAAGTAGAAGCATCTCGGCACGGTTTAAAGACTCTTTTTTCTTTGCCTGACAATATGATTTCTTAATAGTGTCGTACATGAAGTAGTAGCATGTGCTATATGGAAGCATGCCCACCAACGTAGGGGCAATGCCAGAGTACATCGCACCAATCCCTCCATCCTTGTACATTTTGCTTAGTGCAATGCTTATACTGGGGTAAATTTCTGGACTTATAGTCAACCGATCCTGTTAAGGTAAAACCAAACATTAAAAAAACTACTTCAGTTACCATATAGTGTTCCAAAAATATCCGGTGTAAAAGGGCTGTTCCTTTTTGGAGACAACAAAATACCCCTAGGCAACGAAATACCTACCTTTAAGACTTCAAGTGGATGACAAACGAGGGTACTAGCAACACCAGCAGCCGCACCAGCCACGGCAACGGGAGAGAGCCAAGAGAGAGAAAAGTCAATGCTAATATGACCGATCTGTAACTTTGGCCCGCCAGCTTGGGCCCACCTCTCTTGTGATGAAGCCATTGCTCTCTTTACATACTCAAACGTTCCAAACTCAATTGCCTGCGTAGGAACTATGCGCAACATGTTAACCATGTTGCCTGCCCATAGCCCTTGCCATCCATGCTCCTCAACGACTTGGATGAAACTCTGACCAATTTTTTTGGACCCCACGCCAACCACCATTCTTGTTCTTCATGTTTTTTTTATATAGAGAGCGAAGATTAAAATTAATATAGAATTATAAAAATGTCTGACTTAACTAAAGATATACGAAGCAGTTATTCTCTGTTCTAAAACTAACAAATAGAGATAAATTAGTAACATAACAATCAATTTCCCCCTAGGAGATGTGACTTGAAGAAGTAATCATAGAGAAAAGTAGATCAAACCTGATGGTTTCAAGGGGAGCTAGAACAGCTTTGGTCATAGCCCCTGCCAAAGCACCGCTAAGAAACTCGCGGAACTCTCTGCTATTGATGAAATCCTGAAACAAAATGACGGGTTCATTTAAACATTTAGCTTCATACCCTTAAAAACTCTCCTTTTTCTACCAATTTTGTGCTCAAAAACTGAACACGTGGGGCATTTTCTATGAAACTTTTATAAAGCACAAACAAATTTCAATACATCATTTTTACCAGTGTTGCCATGTAGAATGATACAGAAAACACATAATGTACATAATTAACTGAAATATACCTTCCACAAACAAGAAAAGTTACACTACTATTTGAACAATTTAAGTGTAATAAATCATTGGTACAAAACTGTAAGTTTTAAAGGTTCACATTTAGTCCCAAAACATGGAAATATAAGTCCAATTCGCCTATCATTATAGGTATTATCAATTTAAGAAAATACCCACTAAGATGAACCAAAGGTTGAATCATTGGCAAGGAAAAAAAGCAGACCAAAATGAAATTGCAGTGGACACAAACCTGAAAGGCTCGACCGACATCAGGGAACTCCAGAAGATGCTTTTTGTTTGTATTATCATTGTTGAGATTGAGAAGATAGTGCTTGTTGACTTCAATCTCAGAAATATCCTTAGGCTGCACAGTCCCAATTGAGCTGTAAGCATCTCCGGCCATGGGGAAAAAACTGACTAAGCTCTTTTTCGGTGATTCCGATTGAGCAACCATGACTCTTTCCAAGATTCTCTCAATCTGAATCAAGAAAAAAATAGGTTCAATATATAGATATAAACTTAATGAAAAGTCAAACATCCAAGAAAATTACACGGAGGGAGTATTAACATTTCCCAGTGAGCAGTTCATAACAGGGATTGAAGACGAATAAACGCATATTTCGGATACCTTAAATAGAAGAAATGATCATATTGAGAACATTAGAAAGAAAAGGACCCGCCATGGATGCCCTTTGAATCATCCAGTGCGGGCTTTTGGAGTTGTAGATTCCTGCGGTCGATTAGGTGATGAATCAACTAATAACCAAAAAGTAAATAATGAAGAACTCCCTAGATATGTTCTTCCTCCGCCCCCATTTCCCGGTCGCTGTTTTAGGATACGCGGCGGAGGCGGCGGCCGAAGGGTCAATGCTTTCTTTTTTGTACTCCCTATATTTAAATTCAAATTTCACGGCGAAGAGCCACAAACACAGCTTTAGGTTATTTAGGGTTTTGCGGACATGGGTAAGGGAACGGGGTGATTTCAAAAAATGAATATTGTCCGTTCAATTTATTTTGGGTGAATTTCAAAAATGAAGCTTTCTAATAAATTATTTTTCCAAATTAGTATTTAATAAATAATAATTATTTATACGGTTCTTTATAAATTAGATTCATTCTCTAACTGGTCCTCTTTTGAAAATGTCTATTAAATGTCAGTCGCAAAGAAGGTGTTTTAGTGTTTTCTATCATTTAGATTTATGTTCTTAAAGGCAAATTTTATGGTACGCCTAAGGTCCTTTATGGACCTACATATGAGTAAAACAAGCATTTCTTTTCTCTGATACTACAATGTAACATCTCAACCCGCATAATCCAAATACACGGATTAGCGAATCGGATTGTTACTAATTTGGCATCCAAACACAACTTAATTTTTAAAACAATTTAAAATAATACTTCAAAATATAATTCAACATTCATCGGAGTAATAATCAAAATGTTTGCGGAAACTTAAGTCATTATTTAAAAACACAACTTGGAAATCATGCGTGTAAAAGTAATAAGTCAATTAAATAACAAATAAAAATTCGAAGTCATCAAACACGGCCAAGCACATCTCCTCGTCCTCATCGTCCTCCAGGACTGGCTCCATTCTCTGGATTACCTACGTGCAACAAAAGAACAAATGCTACACGCTTAGCATTGAAGCTAAGTGAGAAATATCTAACATACAGCTATACCCATAGACGACCTCACTAGCCCATATCATCATATGATATCATGCACATAAACATACACAACAATATCACAATGGTCCATAAGCTATCATCATGCAATGACACAAAAGCTTAGTACTTTCCTTACTAATTCAATTTACTTTCTTTCTTATACTTGGCTCTTAACCAATGCTAGGTGGGAGTCATGACCTCCCCCTTCGGAATGAAGGTCAAGCTTGAAACCAACTCGGGAGTTCCTTGTTGGGTGGGTAAGATCCCTGTTCTCTTCGGTACGATAGTTCATAGATCCCCGTGCACACATTTTTACCCGGATAGCCATTAGACCCAGCAGGTACCACATGGCTCTAACTTACTATACTTATGACATACATTGCCACTAATCCATTCAGGTCAGTCCCTAGAGTTCTTTTAGGTGATATGTCCAACATTCATAGCATCACATTCTTAAATCCACAATACATTTACCAACATACCCAATGTCATCAAATAGCGGCCTAACACTAGGTGTAGACACCCATTTTTACCATCATGCAGCACACAAGTCTCGGAATCAATCCTTGACGCAAACTAAACCAACAATTCCAGTCCAGGTACCCAACGGTACCCTTGACGCTATGGGGTACCGAACCCACGGTATGGGGGTACCGTCCGAAATAGCAATGTACTTTCCCGGTAGGCCTGTCACGGTAGCCACTACCGACCTGGCGGTAGGACCTACCGTCTGTCCGGTACCTAGGTACCGAACGGTCACAAGTACCGACAGGGGAGGGTGGAAAATGCAGAGTGGTGGCGGTAGCACGGTACTGTCCCGGTGGTACCGTCCTACTGTCGGTCACGACGAATTCTAACTCTGCACCAGCTCCGTTCTTCTACATCAAACCATCAGCAATTTCGTAATAACAGGTATCAATGGGTTCATATTAACATTACAAACATTATCTAACAATCTTATAATCTTACCCATTTCGATTCGTGCTTTTCAACTCACAAACATCATAAACAACATATTAATCACATAGGGTTTCACGTAACTCAACCGTAACGATTCTACAAACGTAAGATTCAAATCTACAAATATAACTCTATGTTAGATATCCACGTACTCACCTCGATTAGGACGAATACGAATTATCGAGATAGTATCAACGAACGGGTAATCGAACGACGAGCTCCTCTTTCTTCTTCCTCCTTTTTCTTATTTTCCTTGTCGGTTCCTCGCTGGTGTTTCGTTTTTCTCATGTTCGACCGAGAGAGAGTAGCGAGAGAGGGAGTTTACGTAAGTATGGGGGTGGCGTGAGGGTTAGGAACGCGTAGGGTGATATAAATATGTTTGGGGTTTTGGGCTCCGTAATTAATTAATGTACTTGGACCAAAATGCACTTTCTGGGCCCATGGGCTCCAAGTCCGAATCCGCTTGCATCGTTGGATTCGTTCCATCAAACCCTACACAACGGTATAAACCTTTTTGTCAAATGAAGAATATTTCCAAATTACACCGAGCCCGTCTCAGTAATTAATTAATTATTATTAACTAATTAATCCTTATAGGCCGGGTTTCGGGGCGTTACAGTTTGAATCTTTTCATTTTATTCCATGTTCCCGACATCTTGTCAATACAAAACCTAAACGGAAAGAAAAATTGTCATTAGCAAAACAACAATGTGAAAACACTTTCCAACAGGCATAAGCAAGGGATACAATTGCTTGGAAATTGGAGGATATTCAGGGAATCGGCCTGGCCTTTTGGTCCAACAAGATAACAATTGAGGAAGGGTTCAAGCCCGCTGTTCAAGCACAATAGAGGCTTAACCCAAACTGATAGAGGTAGTACAGAAGGAAATCCTCCGATTGTTAGACCCCGTATCATATATCCGATCTCTGATAGTCGGTGGGTTAGTCCTATTCATGTTGTCCCAAAAAATAGAGAAATGAGTCTTTTGAAGAACGGGAAGGGTGACCTGGTACCAAGTCGAATGGTCACCGGGTGGAGAATGGTGATAGATTACAAGATGTTAAATAATGCCACCTGGAAGGATCACTTCCCCCTTCCATTCATTGACCAATTGATTGAGAGATTGGGAGGGCATGCCTATTACTGTTTCCTCGATGGAAAGAACGGTTACTTTCAAATACATGTTAACCTCGAGGACTGATAGAAGGTTTAAGAACCCCGTAGTAGTATTGAGAGTAGACTAACCTCAAGAGGTTAGTTTATTCCCGTGTCGTCTCAAGGATCAGATCAAGGGAAAGTGTAGTAGGACTAGCTATGCAAGATTTACTTGGTGAATCGAAATGTTTTCAAGTGATCGAAGATTAGGTAATGAATTATTTAAATTTTCAATATTAAAAAGATAGGGATGTAATTCTTGTTCGGGTGATGGCTTTCTAAGGATTACTTTTATTAGTTGGATTAACTTTTACTTCAAATCTTTTTACTAGCGAGTGAATATCTGCTAAGTATTTGCTCAATAATTAATCCTATCTCTAGAGATCAATTATCAATATCAAAGGGTTTGCCTTAATCAAATTCCAGATTTCTCAAAGAATGTAATTTTCAAAGATTGATTAATAATCTTTCGATCTATTAATCACAATAAAATTTCACGATAATAACAACTAGTAATTAAACTTTAGTAAAATTCCAACACAATAATTTTACCCAAAAATTACCATCACCCTACCATGAATCACATCCCTAATAAATTTAGCTACTCATGACGAGAGATCTAGACATGCATTCATAATAAGAAAACATAATTCAATTGATAAATAAAAGTAGGAAACTTACTTCGACAATATCTGAGTAAATAGGAGGACCAGGCTACAAATTGCTCCGAGAAAAACTCCAAGAAAGTAATTTTAAACTAGTATATTAATAGAGAACTCGAAATATATGAAGAAGAATGGAATTGAGCTGTGTAAGACGTGTATAAAACTAAAGGAATACGCGATGTATAAATAGGATAGAAGTACGGGTGTCGAACCCCTCTCGACGCCCAACTTTAGACGCCCGTACCCTTAATACATGTTCCGTCCATTCAGTGCTTGCCACGTGGAATTGCCGTGTCACCAGGTAGCTTGCTTGGGCGTCCAACCTCCGTGGGCGTCCCCAGGACTCGATTTCAGCGCCCAATTTGCTCATTCCACGATACTTTGGGATTTTGGCCCAATTTTGCTCCCTGTGAGGAAAGGCATTCCTCCTGCCTGTTGGCACATGGCCATGACCTGGCCAAATCCCTAGATCGCCTGCAAGTTAGCAGGGCCGTTGACAAATTGTGCCATGCTTGGTGGGAAGGTCATCCTTGGGCTGGCTAATGGTACGGGGAATGAGACAACCTTTCCGACATATGGTGCGGTGATGGCGGGCGCCATGATCGGGTTGGTGCTTAACGGGATTACTGGGGCGGAAAGAGCCTGGGAAGTAATGGTTGGCACTTCCATCCCTTCAGTGGCAGCCTATACCTGGACGGAGTTAGTAGTTGCGTATTGCTAGCTGGTCGACATGGTTGCTATGTGGTTTTTTGGGAGTGAATTTTAGACAGACAAAGAAAATATTAGCTGGGCGAATTACACAATAGGCTCTAGAGAAATAGAATTCGGATCTCTTCTACTGAGGGTTACATGTGTATTTATAGTGAAGCTAGGGGCCAAGGTGGCAGGCACCCATGCCTTTCCACGTGCCAATCACGTGACGAGGTGATGGCTCTTTGTCTTGTAGCATTTGTCTCCTTTCTCTGGCTGTTAAGCTCTATAGCTGTTTCTCTTGGCATGTAGTGTTTGGCTAGGATGCTTGAATGTATCCATTGGTGCAGGGGAATCTTTTTTGACCAGATCGTTTTCCAACTCGCTACCTTCCAAGTTTGCCAGACTGTTAGTACATACACCACTCAACGAAAACCAAAGGGGGTGACTCGTTGATCTAAGAACCCATGACCGGTGGTAGGAAGGGTACCAAACCACCCGGTTCGTTTGCCATCCTACCGGTCCGATCTGGGTTTGGTCCAACTACCTTGACACGCGTTGTTCCCGGGCTACCAGGTCATTCCGTGTTTGTATCCGATCAAGGTCGGGTTTTGGGTGGGAATTCACCCATCATTAGGGGTTGCAATGTATCGGGTTTTGGTCGGGTGGAGCTTCACCTTCATCCATCCATTAACTCTATATTCATTACCTAATCGATCCATCATCCATTACAAACAATACCCATCACCTGATCCATTCTTCACTTGCGGATGAAATAGTGAAAACGGGTGATATAAG